GTGTGTGTGTGTGTGTGTGTGTGTGTGTGTGTGTGTGTGTGTGTGTGAGATGAGATCTTCAGGCTTTCACCAGCTCAGACTGAATTTATCCAGGGAGGAGTCGACAGGCCTTTTCTGTCTGTGGTCAAACACACACACTTGAGTTTTCTGTGTTTCCTCCTGCTGTTTTCTGTGGGTGTGTGTCCTGTATCTGTCTGTTCATCTCATCTGTCAGTGTGTCTATAAAAACCTGCGTTCAGACGCTGAGATCCTGCTGCTGCTGCTAGAAATGGGAAGCGTTTGTCTTTGTGCTGATGTGTGAGACAGTCTGGACTCGTGATTCACTAGTTACATTTACTCACAAATACACACTGACTCAACGCAGCTTTACAGTTAAGGTTTATAATATCTCAATATCTTCATGCCTTATAGTCGCATCCAGCAGATTAGACCTGTGCAATAATGTAGTTTATATTTTACAACATTATAAACCACTCTGACGCGGTTTCATGTTCTGAGATCTCAGTGGGGTTTTTGAGTCATTTAGATTAAGAACACGTAATAATAACCAAAGCACTAATAACAATAATGCTTAACAAAATAACACTAAAGCTACATCTAAAACCCCTTATTTGTGGTAAAATCACTGTAATGCACCGTGTTATGAAACGGCAGTAACAGTGATACGGTGTTATTTTAGTATCATTTATATACTATTATAGTTGTTGTTAATATTTTTAATCAGATTTTTTTATATTTTCTGGTTATTTTTTGTTTCTGTTAATTTTCATTTATACTCTTTTAAAAATGTTGTATGTTTCTGACATTTTTATATGTGTATATAGTTTGTATATGTTTTAGTTTTTCGTTTAACTTATTTTAGCACTTAACTAAAAATTGATTAAAGTTAAGTGAGTTTGTGCTTAAAACAAGAAAATTAAATTAAAATGAGAAATGTTGCTTTGGCAGCTAGCCAAGTTAAATTAAATTCATGTTTTTATATTTTATATTGTTTATTTTATTATTAGTTATTATTTTAATAATTAGTAACGAACATGTTTTTTTAATGATTTTAGTTTGACTTTTAGTTAATGGTAATAACCGTGCAGTGATATTAAATAAATAATTACATTTATTAAAAGGGTCATGACTTTTTAAAAATTATTTTAATGTTCCTTGAGGTT